TCTCCCGCTTTCTCTTTTCCTTTACCTTTGTTGCCTGCATGAAATTCGTCGTTGCTATCGTCGGAACTCTGGCTAGGCGATATTTGTAAAAACCCTTTCCTCTGTGCTATAGCTTCTGAAGGACTGTCAGGCGTTTTTCTTCCGTCTAAGGACTGTCTGTTATCGGATGATCGAAGTCGGCTGGCTATTGGGCTAAAAGAGACGTTCTTGTCCTCCCCCTCTTCGTCTTCATATTCATGCGGGAGCTTAGTTACTTGACGTTGGGTGAGCCAAGCGTATGAGAATGTGCCCAGTCCTGGGGGTGGAACGGGGTACAGTGTCTTGGGCGATAGGTTCTGAATATAAATCTGCCAATCCCCATTGCCATCAAACCACTTCTTCGCCTCATCGATCCTTCTGATTCCCCATTCTTTTGGATCTTTCTTTGGGCCTGTGTCGGATGAAACCCAGAAACTTCGGAGTAGGAGGTATTGCGTCTCGCTTATTTTCGAGGCAGAAACACAGCGCGTTTGGTGTATACTGGCCGTTCCAAGGTCGTGCTTCTTGACCAAAGATGTCCAGGCCTGTCTATCGACAGGAAACTTGATAATGTCGGCAGACATGATTGTGATAATCCTGCGTCTGTGCCTTCGAGAAATGTTGGTATAAACTCCTAACGGCTCAAGTAGAAGTCTTTAAATATTCATTTTAAGCTTCATGAGTATTACCTTAACGCCCTGGAGACTATTTTAAGATCCCTTACGCGCCTTTGATATTGAGTATGTTTTGTTGACAGCAGCTTTCCTTGGAATGATTGGGTATGGTTGCTCGAATGCTTGACTGGCTGCAATGCCACCTTGCAGGCCGACGTTTAGTTCCAATCATTATGGCAAGGCAGCTTCGGGGTTAATTGGTTGAATGGGATATCAGTTTAACCGCCCATCGGAGACCAACAAGTTATCATCAGTAGCCCCACAGCGGCGCAGCCGTGACAGCGCCAAAGAGTCAAGGTACTCCGTAAGCAACATATTGAGCCAACTGGTCGGTAATATCCCTATTTTTGGTTCATCAATATGCAGACAGGATGCAATGAAGTCTGAAACTGTTGACTCGGCGCTTAAAAACAACTTGCTTACCTCACGAGCCGCGTCACGTGAGGACCTTTTGTTTACTTGGGCGCGAAGGCGACAACCTCGCCTTGTTGAACATCCAATCCACAGGGTCAACATCATCAAGGCCAGAGCACTTATTCTCGAGCCATCCACCATGGGTAGCACTACCAGGATAAACACGGCAATTTTAGATACCCTTATGGACCAAAAAAAGCAAGTCGTCCGCAAACTGGAGCCCCTTCTCAAACGCTTCAAGGCCGCCTTGGACAAGGATAGTATCTATTTTTCCGACGAACAGTTACCGAAGTATGGCATACATAAATCGAGGATGGACTTAGAGCAGGGTGGCCGTTTTTTCAAGCCTATTCCACCAGAGGATTTCGAGACTTGGGTTCTTCATGAAGACTTTTATAGCATAGAAGAATGGGACCCGGAGGCAAAAGAAATAGGTGATGCAAAGCAGGTTTTCTGGAAATTCTGGCGTCTTCTGTGGTCTGAGTTGCCGGGGAAGCCCAGAGATGAATATGGCAGCCTCCCAGGGTTTAATGATTATACTCCTTGGGACGAAGTACTGTTAGTGATGCGCTCTTCCGTCTTCTAGATTGACAAAAGCTAATCAAAATTAAAACTCCTTCAGTATTCCTCGTACCGTTTTTGGAGGTCACGGTAGGATGTCAGTTTCTCCGGAGCCGACTGATTGGTGCATTCAAAACGCCCTCGACAGGCACTGGCGAAACAGCTATGTTTATCCCCACGTTATCTCTTTTTCGTCACATGGTTTATACCCGGATGAAAGCACAAATTCAAAGCTTGCTCGCAGTGAAATTCTGTTGGCTATTGATATCATGCTGCAAAGGATCAGCAACTGGCCGGTCTTCATTACTCATAACATACATCCAGTAGGATTTGACCCTGCCACCCTATTATCATACCCGTTGCTCTGCTCTTGAGCTAATCACTTATATCTAGGTTCTTATGGTCTCTTGCTTCAACCGACAAGTTCGTATGAACGAAGTTTATTTTGAAGATGGAATCCTGTACTTCAACTGCACGCCTTTTATTGATCTGAGCAAGTTCGAGAAGCCCAATCTCGACTTGTATGCGCGCTGGGCCCTGAGTAACCCTGTCGGCGAGACGACTGAATACCCGGGAATGAAACCGCTCAAAAAAGTTGTTGACACGTACTTGAGCGAAAGGCGCTTCAACCGAAAACAAAAATCCAAATCACGTTCGAAAATACCGGAAAAGCCTGAGCTAAAACGTGTGATGGAGCTCAGGGGAAGATAAAGTCTTCACGTACAAAATGAGAGAGTTGCATTTAGCGTTTATTTGGCCGGATATGGTTTTCCTTCTGTCGTGGGTTACGGGTTGGAAAGGGTGGGATATGGAGTTTTTACCGGGGTTACCCCCTTCCCATGCTATTTGAGTATTTATACTCGCATTGGATATGACACGGCGCGGCTTCACACGGTTCTAAACGAAGTAATGATATAACGTTGATGATAGAGTAGAAAGTATTATACGGAAGTGGATTCCGCATTCGTTCTCAATAACTCTCTTACCCGTGTGCATCAAACATTAATTTTCCAGCAATTTGATAAGCATCAAACGCTACGTGGAGTAATAACATGGACCAAAGTCCCAGGATGAGTTGGGCGGTGGAGAAAAGTCACCTTGAAATATTCAATGCTGATGCTAACGGACGATCTGCCAGTCCAATATACAACCCGATCACTGACAAAATGAGATACGCAAAGCTTTAATACACGAAACACAATTATTTCCAGGAACCTGTTTATTAGGTGATATATACAATCTATCAGCGACGGGCCCAGTTTGTCTGTTCACACGAACCAAGCTTCGCCACCGCGTCATCAATTCTTTTTGCCATCCAACCCGAAAAGACTCCTGGTTTGGTGATGCCGGCTTGAAGCCCCTTTGAAATGTGGCATCCCTTAGAGCTGTAGGAATACTGTAAGCATTCTGGATATTCAGAACACTTCTGTTTGCACTCCTTGGCCGATTTGACTCCCTCAACGGCATCCTTGGAATCATTATCCCAATCCGTTCTTTTAGCGGCCAAAAGCGGCCGGATAAGTTTCTGAAATACATCACTATGATGCAGGAAGGTCGAATTTCCGCTCTGCTATAATCTCGTTAGCATTTGGCTTTAGATCACATCGGATAACTTGGATTAACGGAATTCTATCTCTTTACCTCTTTAGATGCTTCTTTAGACCATGTCATCTCGAACCTCCAGAATTCCCTGATATCTGCTGGGTCCATGTGATGGTAGGCTACCGGAGGATAGCACCAGGGCAGTTTATTATAACTGGCAGAAAGATGGTCAAAGGTCCAAGGGGTCGCGCCTTGGAACATCGGCCAGGACCAAGTCAGGTTGATACCGGAGTCCGCCAAAGCCTTCCCAAGAATGGCATCACCCGCCCACTGGTGACTTGTGTATGTGTCCCATTCATCCACCCGAGAAGAATGATATTCCACGATCTGTTCCAGGGCTGGGCGGGAGAGAGCAAAACCAGACCCCCCGTGCGCAAAGATGATATCTCCAATCTTCATCTGGCTGCCCAGGAAAATCGGTTCACTGGCGTTGAACGTCTCGAGCCAGCCGATCAGATTCGGCCAGACGATGTACGTGTCTGCCTCTATGAAGACGTACCACTCGGCGTCGTCTCTCGCCTGGAGCGTTTCGTGCATCATCGGGAGGAATTTCCACTTGTCCAAGACCCAGCCGGGGTTTTTCGGCTTCCCGGCCGGCGTGCTTTCGTCGATCGTCTTGTTCCATGTCGGCGATAGAGTTTCCCTGCCCGTATCACGGAGGCGCCTATAGAGTTCGAAGTCGGGATGTTCATTTTTGATATCATCATCCACGCTTTTCAGGACATCGTGAAGGTGGAAGCCGCCGACGTCTTCTTCATAGTCGGAGAAGAGAGTGAAGCGAGGCACGTCACGCAGAGTGGTGCTGAAGTGGACGGGGAGTTTCCTCAGCGCTTCGGTCGCCCCCGTCTTCAGGACGACGTGGACATCTTTCAGCCCAGGCAGCGACCGCCGCTCGAACTCTTCCAGCGACGAATAGAGAGGATTAAAGAGACTATCGCCCCTTGGCCAGAAGAGGTAACAGGCCACGAGCAAGAAGCTGAGAACGGGCGAAACGAGATAGATCCATCGGCGCAGGGCTCTATTTCTGCTGTTTAGGAATACCATGGATGGCGAGGAGGCGATGTGAATCCTGACATGACTTTTCCTGACATCGATTCAGAACGAGTCCGCCCAAAAAGTGCGTCCTCACAGCCCTTTTGAACCTCATCCCATCGGAGGCTGTCCAGCTGTCCAGCGCCAGGGTGGCTGAACTTGGCACCAGAGATCATACCCTGGAACTCATCGGTACACGCCCTGATTTGCATGACTATACTCAATCCCTGCAGGGGGATTTTCAATAAATAGTTACGCCGGCGGCGCTACGACTACTGGTTTTAGTTCGACCTTTCGGCGTCATCGATGTCACTCCTCTTAATATATTTAGCTGCATGCCAGGGGCCGACATGGATCCACGGCAGGCCCTGTGCGTGTGGACGTGAATAGTCCAGGGGGCTCAAAGCGACATTGGATAAATTGCAAACAGCCCCCCTCGCCCACCGTGAGAGCTGCGACACCTGGCCAGTTCATCATTTCGTTAAGCGGATACGGAGTAAATGGGGGTGTCACCAAATTCGCTGATACAGGTGGTGGCCTTTAGACGCAATTTATGTGGCGTTCTTAGTGACGTATTGAACAAATGGTTGTTTTATTGCTACTCAAGAATTGGAATAACCACCTACTATGTCAATAAGATGTGTACTTACAGGGGTAAAAAGACTATACTTCTTTTCAGAAAAAAAAAAAAAAAAAAACCGACCACGGTGTGATTCGAACACACAGATCTTTGGTGCAACGACATCCATCTTGGAAATACCGAAAACCAACGCCTTAACCATTAGGCCACGCGGCCACTTGAATACCAGATGATAATCTAACTACATAGTAGTTTTAACCTATCTCTAGGTATAGCCTGCTATAGTTTCTGGAAGAACTAATACTTCCCTATCTGGGTACGACTCGCAGTTATAGATATACAAATATCTAATATTATAGCTCCTATTGGACATTAGACTCTAAGACTTAATAATAGAATGGCTAAACCAGCTTGTATAGTAACTAAATATTTTAAGTATACAAATTTTTCGACTTCCACTTCCCATTCTTCTTTTCACTAACTGGAAACCAACGCCTTAAAAATGATCTTCTCTCCGCGAGAGTATATCCTTCGAGTATATCAACAAGAGAGTTCATTTTCTTAACGACCTGCGTTCCGTAGTTTATAAGCCAGATATAAACCTCCCCTTGGGCATCAGTGCCGGTAATAGAAATTGCTAGTCGGCAAGCTGGATCTGTTTTCCGTGCATAATAAGCATATACCATAGGATGTTCAGTCTCTGCCAAATGGAACTGGACTAATACCAGATCCCGGTCTATTAGGCGAAGACCAAAGCATTTAGAGACTGTGAAGGAGAACATGCTACAGCGAATATCGTATAAAGGACCCTCGTACGCAGTGCCTCGGTTTGTTATAGATTCGTGAACTGGTATTCTTTCTTGCATAAAGTAGTCGAGCGTCGGAAGATAACTCTAACGAGCGTCGTATATGCTTATTATAGTAATTTCGTAGCCGAGAATCAGGCGAATTTCTAAGCTGGTTGAATCCGTCTCTCAAACTTTCAGCCCACCCCCGTACCTGCACCCAAAGTGTAGAAGGGGACATGTTAGCCCTAAGTCCATGGTGTGCATTGCTATTATATCCAATAAGGTATTTGCCGGTCCAGGGAGTTCAATCTATTATCTAGTTCAAGTATATGACTAGTATAATATTGCAACGGAGGATCTCGAAGTATAACAGGAATCATCATCAAAGAAGCAGAAATTGCCATTAGACTGTTCTAATCATTGCAGTTGGTTGATGTTGCCTGTATCAATACCCTGTGTAGACTCATATTCCTCGGGTATTTAATTTATTCTCTAGGTACTCAAATGCATTCTTATATCTTGTAACCTGGCCGTTGCCCCAGACGATATCTTACTTGAGTCTCTCCTCCCGGGTAATAAGGAGTCTTGGTAAGGGCTCTTCCTTACGCGCGAGGAGCTAGGACATCTCTCTACCGTCGACCTGTCCACAAGAGAGGGGCAGGGTATAAAGGCTACGCTGTAAAAGCAGCATTAAAATTTCTCACCCGGGCTTCGTCTCTAGTAAAATCTATAATTCATCATTCAGAGGAAGGCAGAAGATAAGGCGGGGGGGCACTTACGCGCCAAGATACAGTAGGTTGAGGGCTTTAAAGTGGTAAGAAGAGCTATACCGGATCAGAAAACTTGGTAAGATCGAGGAGTACGGAGTACTCTGATGGATACTCGACTTTCCAAACGGACCCCTTAAGCATGTACGGAGTAAGCAACGGTATCCGAATTTGCAAGTATGACTCCGTATCCAACCAAATTAGACGATCTATCTCAGTTCTCTCTATAGTCGACGCACAGGACTTTGACGAAGAGCAGCATGGTAAATTCCGAAGCGAAAGCTCCATTGTAATCTCGACAGAGACAAACAGACGCCTACGGAGTACTACGACAGCAACAACAGAAAGCACGCAGCAGCCGAGAACTACTCCTACCGCCTATCCCGGAGAAACAGAGCATAGGAGGGGCCTGTCACCCGTATTATAGAGCAACGGGCTCATGACGTTTTACAAGAAGTGGTTGACGTGAAGCCCCTTGAGAGCATCCCTTCATCGTACGGAGTATATGATAAGCTGTCCTGCACGACCCGCCCTTGTTGTTCAATCCACACGAGAAAGGCTAGAAGGTGTAAACTGCTCTGCCTCAAAGTTGCGCTGTGAGGATGTTCTCCGTATATAAAAAAAGAAAAAAGAAAAGGAGAAAAGCTGCAGAGTCAGGGGCTTCTACTTCCTGAACTCCAGGGAATATAGTTTGCTTCTTAGCTCCCGCTAAAGGTGGGCCACCCGAGACGGGGCGAAACTCCACTCCAACCGAACAATTGAGTGGTTATTTCTCTGCCTTGTATTCTTCAGGGACACGCATGCCGATTGACAGGAGCTTGGAAGCAGTTTAGGAGACCGTAATCATGAAAAGCTGTGCTCCTGTCACCTACTTGTACACTCAATGCTCTTAGACTTCCGATTGGCCATTTACTCCGCTGCTTCCAAGTTATTCGCAATATATATACATAGTCAGTTACACCATAACCTGCTTTAACACGAAGCAGATATCTCTACCTCAACCACTGGCGATGTAAGCATCTATATCTAGAGCATGCAATACCCTGCGTCCTGAGCAAGTTGATGTCGCTGTGCCGAGTTCTGGTTCCAAAGTTGAGTAACAAACCATCTTCAGATTCACCAGTCTCGATAAAAGCCCACAATGGATACGCAAGCTTCGATAAAGATGAATATTGCCGTCTTCAGCGCTCATGAATATGACAGGGTTTACTTCTCTCGTGTCCAAGCTGTCTCGAGCCCCATCATTACCCTAACCTACCACACGTTCGCTCTCACCGCTGAAACTGCCAGTCTAACCTCCGGGGCCAACGCAGTCTGTGTGTTCGTCAATGACACGCTAGATGCATCCGTACTCGAGACTCTCAAGTCCATCGGCGTCCGAGCCATCTTCCTCCGTTGCGCGGGCTATAACAACGTCGACCTCGAGGCCGCAGAGCGCCTGGGTCTGTTCGTCGCCAACGTCCCATCATACAGTCCCGAATCTGTCGCGGAGTTTGCAGTGGCGTTGCTGTTAACCCTTAACCGCAAGACACATCGAGCGTATAACCGCGTGAGAGAGGGCAACTTCAGCCTCGATGGACTGGTAGGGTTCAGACTGTTCGGTAAGACGGTGGGAATAGTAGGGACCGGCAAGATTGGCGTTTGCTTTGCACGGATTATGAAGGGCTTCGGGTGTCGGTTGATTGCATACGATCCGCACCACGACGAAGAGTTTGAAGAACTGGGGAAGTATGTGGAGCTGGACGAGCTGCTGGCTGGGAGTGACATTGTGAGCTTGCATTGCCCTCTGGTCAAGGAAACCAGGCACATCATCAATGCAGACACCGTGGGCAAGATGAAGAAAGGAGCAATGCTGCTCAACACTTCTAGGGGCGGGTTGCTCGATGCCGACGCTGTTCTTGCAGCCTTGAAAAGGGGACAGCTAGGCGGTCTGGCGTTGGACGTGTATGAGCAAGAGGGCGCTCTCTTTTACGCGGACCATTCAGCTGATATTATTGGGGACGACACTCTTATGAGGCTAACTACATTTCCTAGCGTTATCATTTCTGGACATCAGGCTTTCTTTACCGAGGAAGCCTTGCATGAGATTGCTCTGGTTACTCTCGATAATGCAGCGGCCTTTGCAGAGGGAATTCCGTGCAAAAACAGGTTGGTATATGGAGACAAAACGCGAGCAAGCACAGAAAAGTGTTCTGTACGAATCTGAATGAACTCGCTATTTCATTTTTATAATTGCTCCTCTTTTGAAAGCTAGTGTATATTAGCAGGGTTGCTGACTAGTTTAATAAGTGTAGATTGCATGGTAAAAATGATATGCATGAGCCTTTCGCACTTTGAATAGAATTATAGGAAAATATCATTTGCATCAACAACGGTTTACTCTATACAAATTGTCAATTTCTGGCTGAAAATGGACGCTGTGGTGTAATCACGTCTTATATCATGTGATTGGCTGACTAAGTCAACTTGGTCTCCCGCTTGGCGAAAATAATTTATTGACGTCAAATCATCGCAAGAGACAAGTTGAGTGAGAGAGAGAACCCATGATATGGCGTCGGCGACTACGCTGGCCTTGTTATGCTGGAAAAGAAGGCCTACCCCACCCTCGAATCTTGAGAAAGAAGGATGATCTGCTTCTATCCATGGATGCTTGTCATGGATCGGTGTGTGAAAAAAGGGACTCATCTGCGGAAGATCTATCAGTAGATCTTGTGGCAGCTCAATTTATGAGAGAGAGAGAGACTCGTGGCGATATACCCAGACTTCCTTCAGAGCCCAAATCTGCAATTCAAGTGCCATAAAGATACATCCTCAAGAATTGATCGAAAGAAAGAAATATCCTTGAAGTCCTTATTTACGGTGCCTGCCCTTCAACACGTGACTCTCTGTAGACGCAGAAAAGTCGAACGACAACGGAATGGCCGGGATGTTTCCCCCCTTTTTTTTGGCCTGGCGGATTTTCAATATATATTTCGGCTGATGAATAATCTTTCCTACTTGACTGGCCACAGTCTCTCTTCTACCATCTCCTTTAGATAGTATTATTTACTATAACCACCTCCTCACTACGATGCTCGTTCTTCTTGCCAATATCGCATATGCGGTATTCGGATGTCTTGTCTTGATTGCACTCAATGCCACACGCCAGTTACTATTTCAAAACAAGAGCGAGCCGCCCGTTGTCTTCCACTGGATACCGTTTCTGGGGAACACCATTAGCTACGGAGTAGACCCTTATGCATTCTTCTTCTCGTGCCGGCAAAAGGTCAGTCGGGATTACTACAGTCTTCCTAAGTAGTGACATTCTGACCGTTGAGGCGTTGGCTGTTAAAGTACGGTGATATCTTCACGTTTGTTCTACTAGGACGAAAGACGACGGTGTACCTGGGTGTTCAGGGCAATGAATTCATCCTAAACGGAAAGCTCAAGGATGTGAACGCAGAAGAAGTTTACGGTCCACTCACGATTCCTGTCTTTGGGTCCGACGTTATCTACGATTGCCCGAACTCCAAGTTGATGGAGCAGAAAAAGTTCGTCAAATTTGGCCTTACCCAGTCTGCCCTCGAGTCGCACGTTCAGTTGATCGAAAAGGAGGTGCTCGATTATCTTAAAACATCCCCAAAGTTCAGTGGTACTTCAGGACAAATAGACGTCTCCTCTG